TCATTAAAACTAAGATTCTGACTTAACCTCTTTCCTATGACGTCGTTGCTTTCCACAATTTGTATTATTAGACCAGTTCTATAGTCTAGACCACAATCTCTTACAATATTGGACTGCATGACTTCCTCCTTCAATTTTGCATGATTTTACTAACATATTTCGTTCAGCCTATGATTCTGTGGGGCCTTTTTTACTACCCTGCAGGCCCAGATTTTGAATTCATATAACTGTTTCCTCATACAAATAAGATTTACACCGGCACTACAAATTAAACAAAAGGTATGCCAGTGAGACTGGATATGAAGTGTTTCCAAACGTTTATAGATACCGGTATAGTAAACCAACATGTATGAATTCCCTAAGTTTAGAAGCATGTATGAAATTTGGATTGCTAATCTTGACCGGTCAGGCACCAGCTTGTTGGATTCAATGTTGATGAGTATCCCAATCATACACGCGAGCAATTGTAATTTGATCAAATATAGGAGGGGAAAATGACCCAGAACTACTATTCGTTGATTTTGTAAAACTTTTTAAATGTATAAGTAAACCAGAAAGTATCACGCTCATTACAGATGCGATGATTTTAACGCTGGAAATTTTCTAGTTCAAAATGAAAATGAGTATCAACATCATTCTAACTAAAAACCATCTAATCCTTCGGACTAAACCAGTATTGAGCATGATTCTTCCTAGAAAAGACAAACCATGAAAGCCACTTACAAAGGTCTATTCCATCAGCGAAATGTGCAGAACGGTGTAGGAGTCTAGCAAGTGGTTAAATTTGAAAGAAAAGCAGTGAATTCAACACAATGTATTTGTATGCCCCTCTAATATCCATGTTGATTGCTGGGAAAGAAATTAGTCATGGCATCAATGTTATGTTGGTATCCGGGTATGCACATAAAAGCAGACTGTCAATCACCAGTTGGAGATGAAGAAAAGAATGCTAAGGGATAAGCATTTGACCAATATCATTGAAGATAAAGAATATTTTCCTTCATATGTTACAAACTTCATAACATAAAAATATAGCCAGAAACAATAAGGAAAAAATACAGAGATCCATAAAACTAAAATGTTGAAACAAGCAGCAACACTACACATTCAAGGCAGGAATATGATAACAACCAGAGATAAAGAGAGATAGAACCAAAGAAAACTGAAATCAATTTTAAAGTAGGTTCAGTCACAGGATGAATCATCTTACAGTATGTATCAGGAAAATAACGGTAGATTGGAGCAGAGCTCCCTTACAAGATGGATGAATAGAATATAAGTGAAAATGTCATGACACTCCTACAGAGAATGAACCAACTTCTCTTCTCAACTCCATACCAATTGTTAATTTGTCAATGCCTCTCCCAAATACTAATTCTCTACCACACTTTGCACGATTACCACTCACTCCTCCTTCCTCTTCAACACAGCCACATGGTAATTCTGTTACTCCCCTACCCATTACCTTTTTCTCTACCCTCCTTGCTCTTGCCACTACCTTTCCCCTTCTCCTCTCACACACCCATAAACCCAGATTGGCGCCCATTTTCCTTCACGATCCACATCCGTATCCCTCTCTATGCCTCTTCTTTGTCATACACTTCTTATGGGTCTATCATAATATCTATCCCTAAATATTAATCTGTATTGACCATGGGTATCGATGGGCAAACATTAAATCAACAAGGTAAACATGATTTAGAACTCAATGGTTTGTCTATAAACATGATTGCTGTTTGATCCATGCAGCCAATCCTTCGTAATGGGAAAAGACTCGATTGCTGTTGTAAGGAACTATGGAACATCTACAATATCCCATCCTTTTTATTTCTTAAGAGTTTAAAAAATGAAGTTGAATCTCGCTTGGATCAATAAATAGAACTATTTACAGTTATATTCCACAACCCAAGCTGGCAATTGCTTCATGGAAGACAGCTAAACTGGATGCGTACATTATCCACCGACCTCTGCACATCTAATCAATGCGAGTCATGATTGCACTGGAAACAAGTACATATTGAATCTTCCTGGGTAGGGATGAACCAGATACGTAACATACCAATTTTCATGAGGGTACGAGGCTTGACTACTGTTCCAGTGTGCCTAGTTTGGCAGGTTGGCACCACACAGGGCAGCTGTGCACTTCCCCCACCCCCTCCTTTTTATATACCCTCTTTACTCAAGGAGAGTTTTGGAACCAGGAGGAAGCCTTGAGGGTGTAATAAGAATTCATCAAGCATTGGACACATGGTGGGGGATATCCACATGCTTAGAATAAGAGGCACACATTTTCATTTCAGCTGCCTGATAAAAGATAATTTGGCTATTCATACCTAAAACTTTTTCCTCAACATAAAATACAAGTATCTTTTACTTGAGCAACCACTACAGCCATATGATATCTACTTTATGGGAAAACAGGGTCCAAATAAACCTCACCAGTACCCCTATTTGCTTGCAATGTAGCACCAACATGTAAGCACTTCTCAATCGGTATCTTTGCCTGACAAACACAACAAAACAAATTGAGTAGTCAGTGCAGATGGAGAGAAAACCGCAACACAAAATACAAATTTTTACACTTAGAAATTACTTATCCAAGTAGACATTCTTATTTCTATGATTTAAGTCAGGTAAGAACCTAGAACTATGAAGCCAATGCCGTCAGGAAAAGAAAAAGCAGTTGCCAGAAATTAAAGCTAGAGAGTTTTTCAGCTTATGTTCATGATAGGGACTAGGATATTATTGCTACCTAGAAAACCAATACAAACACATACTTTTACAAACTTTTACACTTCGAAGTTACTGATTCAAGTAGAAATTCTTATCTTTATGATTTAAGAATCTGGTAGTATGAAGTCTATGCTGTTAGGAAAAGACAACGCAGTTTCCTGAACAGTATGAAGTCTTTCCAGTTTATATTTATGGTAGGAAGTTGGATACTATGGGGTACTTTAATCCCACATAGAACAGTATTGGATGCTCAGTTCGAGTAATTAGGTGTTTGGTTCCCCTAACATTGCTCTTAGAGACTTATAGTAGTCAACATGTTACTCCTTCGCAGTGGTAGTAGCTTAAAACAAAATTAAATTAACATTTTTTTCTAGCCCTATCCAAAATTTCACCACCCATATATAGCAAGAAAAATTAAGAAGTCCGCATAATGGCAAACTGTAATCTATAGATTATATAAGGCAACGAAACCTTAAGATCCCTTTGTTTAGCAAAAAAGTTTCATTTCAATCAACTCCTATGGCTGAAGCCTGCAGCAGTAAGTTGTCAGTGATTCATAAAATTTTATGAAACAGAAATTAAATTTCGCTGACTGCATGGCAGATACTCATGTATACAGCATATTAAGGAGCAAAACTGAGTTTTTAGTTATGCAAGTATGTATTCAACATTCAAGGAAACAGAAACCTACTTTTTTTTGTAGAACTAACGCATACTGTTAATACAGAAAGATTTTAGGATGACCTATACTTAATTAATGGCTCAGTAAAAAAAAGTCACCGAACTGTGGTATCATATTTATACTACCATGATGCAACAAAAATGTACAATAATGATGATGGACAGAAAATCAAGGAAATAGGAAGAACCTAGTAATTGTACAATAACAAAAGGTTCTATCATTCAGAGCTATATAACCTGAAACTGCTTCCACAGACCCATTTTATAATAAATAAGAATATGAAGTAAAATATACGAAAGTGCGCAGTTGGTGAATCCAAAAATGAGAAATTAAGCACAATAGAGTCAGCTCAGATGCAGTATAAAATTCACATTAAAAAACAGCATAACACAATAATTTTTGAGAATTTCACACATTTGCAAAAATCAATTCAGGAATCAAGCAGCAGATAGAACATCCTTTATAAAACTAAATAAATAAATAAAAAGTTCGTCAGAATCTAGAAGTCCTCTGAAGCCAAAGAAATAAAGTTGACATTTACAATAACAACTGCAGAAATATAAAATGAATAGTGCATTGATTATTGGGGGAAAGAATAAACCTTCTTTGTAGAAAAGTAAGAGGGTTGGCATCAAGGCCTGATTGACCTCTCCAGAGGGCGAATAAGCAGCAACTGGCACCAGTAGCAGCCATTGCTGTTGAGTTGTTCCTCATCTCAACACTCCGAAATTTGAAAATATAATGCCAAAACTCGTTCGTTTTGGGTATTTTTCTGTTTCCGTCTCTAACACTCACCCTCAGTTCAAAGGAAAGTAAAAACACTTGGAGATTGGATTTGTTTGAAAAACATCTCTGTACAAGGAAATTCAGAAGAAAAAAAACTAAGAGAGTAAAATAAAATAGCTTTTTCATAAATTATATTAAAAGCTGATTTTCTTTAAAAGAAAAAGTGAGCAAATATTATCATCTTTTGAAAAAAATAAAAAAACATTCATGATTTTAATTATGAAAACCAAACACATCAGCGTGATTTGGCCTTTTTAATTACATTTTAAAATTTATATAATTGTATACTACTTTTTTACTTTCTTTATTATAAAAAAAGATTTACACCGGCACTACAAATTAAACAAAAGGTATGCCAGTGAGACTGGATATGAAGTGTTTCCAAACGTTTATAGATACCGGTATAGTAAACCAACATGTATGAATTCCCTAAGTTTAGAAGCATGTATGAAATTTGGATTGCTAATCTTGACCGGTCAGGCACCAGCTTGTTGGATTCAATGTTGATGAGTATCCCAATCATACACGCGAGCAATTGTAATTTGATCAAATATAGGAGGGGAAAATGACCCAGAACTACTATTCGTTGATTTTGTAAAACTTTTTAAATGTATAAGTAAACCAGAAAGTATCACGCTCGTTACAGATGCGATGATTTTAACGCTGGAAATTTTCTAGTTCAAAATGAAAATGAGTATCAACATCATTCTAACTAAAAACCATCTAATCCTTCGGACTAAACCAGTATTGAGCATGATTCTTCCTAGAAAAGACCAACCTTGAAAGCCACTTACAAAGGTCTATTCCATCAGCGAAATGTGCAGAACGGTGTAGGAGTCTAGCAAGTGGTTAAATTTGAAAGAAAAGCAGTGAATTCAACACAATGTATTTGTATGCCCCTCTAATATCCATGTTGATTGCTGGGAAAGAAATTAGTCATGGCATCAATGTTATGTTGGTATCCGGGTATGCACATAAAAGCAGACGTCAATCACCAGTTGGAGATGAAGAAAAGAATGCTAAGGGATAAGCATTTGACCAATATCATTGAAGATAAAGAATATTTTCCTTCATATGTTACAAACTTCATAACATAAAAATATAGCCAGAAACAATAAGGAAAAAATACAGAGATCCATAAAACTAAAATGTTGAAACAAGCAGCAACACTACACATTCAAGGCAGGAATATGATAACAACCAGAGATAAAGAGAGATAGAACCAAAGAAAACTGAAATCAATTTTAAAGTAGGTTCAGTCACAGGATGAATCATCTTACAGTATGTATCAGGAAAATAACGGTAGATTGGAGCAGAGCTCCCTTACAAGATGGATGAATAGAATATAAGTGAAAATGTCATGACACTCCTACAGAGAATGAACCAACTTCTCTTCTCAACTCCATACCAATTGTTAATTTGTCAATGCCTCTCCCAAATACTAATTCTCTACCACACTTTGCACGATTACCACTCACTCCTCCTTCCTCTTCAACACAGCCACATGGTAATTCTGTTACTCCCCTACCCATTACCTTTTTCTCTACCCTCCTTGCTCTTGCCACTACCTTTCCCCTTCTCCTCTCACACACCCATAAACCCAGATTGGCGCCCATTTTCCTTCACGATCCACATCCGTATCCCTCTCTATGCCTCTTCTTTGTCATACACTTCTTATGGGTCTATCATAATATCTATCCCTAAATATTAATCTGTATTGACCATGGGTATCGATGGGCAAACATTAAATCAACAAGGTAAACATGATTTAGAACTCAATGGTTTGTCTATAAACATGATTGCTGTTTGATCCATGCAGCCAATCCTTCGTAATGGGAAAAGACTCGATTGCTGTTGTAAGGAACTATGGAACATCTACAATATCCCATCCTTTTTATTTCTTAAGAGTTTAAAAAATGAAGTTGAATCTCGCTTGGATCAATAAATAGAACTATTTACAGTTATATTCCACAACCCAAGCTGGCAATTGCTTCATGGAAGACAGCTAAACTGGATGCGTACATTATCCACCGACCTCTGCACATCTAATCAATGCGAGTCATGATTGCACTGGAAACAAGTACATATTGAATCTTCCTGGGTAGGGATGAACCAGATACGTAACATACCAATTTTCATGAGGGTACGAGGCTTGACTACTGTTCCAGTGTGCCTAGTTTGGCAGGTTGGCACCACACAGGGCAGCTGTGCACTTCCCCCACCCCCTCCTTTTTATATACCCTCTTTACTCAAGGAGAGTTTTGGAACCAGGAGGAAGCCTTGAGGGTGTAATAAGAATTCATCAAGCATTGGACACATGGTGGGGGATATCCACATGCTTAGAATAAGAGGCACACATTTTCATTTCAGCTGCCTGATAAAAGATAATTTGGCTATTCATACCTAAAACTTTTTCCTCAACATAAAATACAAGTATCTTTTACTTGAGCAACCACTACAGCCATATGATATCTACTTTATGGGAAAACAGGGTCCAAATAAACCTCACCAGTACCCCTATTTGCTTGCAATGTAGCACCAACATGTAAGCACTTCTCAATCGGTATCTTTGCCTGACAAACACAACAAAACAAATTGAGTAGTCAGTGCAGATGGAGAGAAAACCGCAACACAAAATACAAATTTTTACACTTAGAAATTACTTATCCAAGTAGACATTCTTATTTCTATGATTTAAGTCAGGTAAGAACCTAGAACTATGAAGCCAATGCCGTCAGGAAAAGAAAAAGCAGTTGCCAGAAATTAAAGCTAGAGAGTTTTTCAGCTTATGTTCATGATAGGGACTAGGATATTATTGCTACCTAGAAAACCAATACAAACACATACTTTTACAAACTTTTACACTTCGAAGTTACTGATTCAAGTAGAAATTCTTATCTTTATGATTTAAGAATCTGGTAGTATGAAGTCTATGCTGTTAGGAAAAGACAACGCAGTTTCCTGAACAGTATGAAGTCTTTCCAGTTTATATTTATGGTAGGAAGTTGGATACTATGGGGTACTTTAATCCCACATAGAACAGTATTGGATGCTCAGTTCGAGTAATTAGGTGTTTGGTTCCCCTAACATTGCTCTTAGAGACTTATAGTAGTCAACATGTTACTCCTTCGCAGTGGTAGTAGCTTAAAACAAAATTAAATTAACATTTTTTTCTAGCCCTATCCAAAATTTCACCACCCATATATAGCAAGAAAAATTAAGAAGTCCGCATAATGGCAAACTGTAATCTATAGATTATATAAGGCAACGAAACCTTAAGATCCCTTTGTTTAGCAAAAAAGTTTCATTTCAATCAACTCCTATGGCTGAAGCCTGCAGCAGTAAGTTGTCAGTGATTCATAAAATTTTATGAAACAGAAATTAAATTTCGCTGACTGCATGGCAGATACTCATGTATACAGCATATTAAGGAGCAAAACTGAGTTTTTAGTTATGCAAGTATGTATTCAACATTCAAGGAAACAGAAACCTACTTTTTTTTGTAGAACTAACGCATACTGTTAATACAGAAAGATTTTAGGATGACCTATACTTAATTAATGGCTCAGTAAAAAAAAGTCACCGAACTGTGGTATCATATTTATACTACCATGATGCAACAAAAATGTACAATAATGATGATGGACAGAAAATCAAGGAAATAGGAAGAACCTAGTAATTGTACAATAACAAAAGGTTCTATCATTCAGAGCTATATAACCTGAAACTGCTTCCACAGACCCATTTTATAATAAATAAGAATATGAAGTAAAATATACGAAAGTGCGCAGTTGGTGAATCCAAAAATGAGAAATTAAGCACAATAGAGTCAGCTCAGATGCAGTATAAAATTCACATTAAAAAACAGCATAACACAATAATTTTTGAGAATTTCACACATTTGCAAAAATCAATTCAGGAATCAAGCAGCAGATAGAACATCCTTTATAAAACTAAATAAATAAATAAAAAGTTCGTCAGAATCTAGAAGTCCTCTGAAGCCAAAGAAATAAAGTTGACATTTACAATAACAACTGCAGAAATATAAAAAGAATAGTGCATTGATTATTGGGGGAAAGAATAAACCTTCTTTGTAGAAAAGTAAGAGGGTTGGCATCAAGGCCTGATTGACCTCTCCAGAGGGCGAATAAGCAGCAACTGGCACCAGTAGCAGCCATTGCTGTTGAGTTGTTCCTCATCTCAACACTCCGAAATTTGAAAATATAATGCCAAAACTCGTTCGTTTTGGGTATTTTTCTGTTTCCGTCTCTAACACTCACCCTCAGTTCAAAGGAAAGTAAAAACACTTGGAGATTGGATTTGTTTGAAAAACATCTCTGTACAAGGAAATTCAGAAGAAAAAAAACTAAGAGAGTAAAATAAAATAGCTTTTTCATAAATTATATTAAAAGCTGATTTTCTTTAAAAGAAAAAGTGAGCAAATATTATCATCTTTTGAAAAAAATAAAAAAACATTCATGATTTTAATTATGAAAACCAAACACATCAGCGTGATTTGGCCTTTTTAATTACATTTTAAAATTTATATAATTGTATACTACTTTTTTACTTTCTTTATTATAAAAAAATAATATAATTAAACAAATTATTTATTATACATTGTACTGAAATTATATTGTAACAGAACAAGATAATCAAATATTGTAAATTTAATTGTATTTAGACTTTCATTGTAAGTTGAATATAGGTAGATACTTTTTTATTTGCTTTAGAGTCTCTTGCTTCCGTTCCTTTTTTGTTTCTTTATTATATTTTTGTCATTGTTTCTATTAATATTTTTTATTTTGGAAAGTTGACATTGTAAATTTAAATACATTTCAATCCCAATTGTAGTTTGTTGGTAGTAATCAGGAAGGTGCAGGAAGAAAAGGTAAAGGTCCAGTGAGATTCATTACGGGTTCACTATGGGTCTGTTTTCTTAATGGGCTTGGACATATTTTTATTTTTAAAAAAAAAATCATTACATTGGGACCTTTTGGGCCCTTGGAAAGTTTGCTTAGGTAATTATATTGTAGTTTGATTAAGAAAAGGGTTAGCAAAAGTAGGTACATTGTAAATTTGTTATTGTTACACGAAGGTGAGTCACCCAATACACTGAGAAATCAAACATAGATTCAACGGGTGGTGGGTGGTGGGTCATTCAATCAAATTCCACACGATGGGTCTCACCTCTCAAAACAACCTTAACTCTAATAATCTATGTCTTACATTTCCATTCCAAGGAATCTCTGAATCACCCTCCATCTTATGTTATGTCTCTCGTTTTCATAAGAGCATTCGAATGGAAGCAATTTCCTCCCGAAGCCATGTTTTTAGTTTGGTGGCTTCATGATATCCTTGAAAACGATGATCCATCGATAAAGCTTGTGATCAAAGCATTAAGTTGTCCACAAGAAATCGGCTATGAGAGAAAGATAAGAAGAGAAGGTTATGATTGGAGAAAGATATAGAACATTGAATTAGTTGGGGCCATTGTGATGGCTTTGAATTGAAAAGAAGGAAACAAGTAGAAAATGGTGATTTATTTAGAAGGATAAGATTGAAAAACGGTGGCAATCAATTAGTGGAAAAAGAGGTATAAAAAAGCATTAATGGGGCTATTATGAAGTTCAAATAAGTTACAAGTCTTATCCCACCTCTAAAAAAGGATGCGTGACTCACTGTCTACTTCATCACTCCACTAATCACAAATAAAGTAGTTCAATATAATATAATGGTCATCATGTGAGGGACAAGGACATTTTTTTAGTATATTGCTAAACAATTGTGTCTTCTTGTTTTGTTTCCCATTTGCGGCCATGATGTGTTGCGTTTGTAGAAGATCATATATCTCAAACCGATGCTAACTTTATCCACAACACAGTACTTGTAATTTTTTATTCGTTTTTGGTGTTTGAACTGCTTTAGAGAAAGAAAATAAATATTATAACTTCAGGGGTTGATGCTGAAACCTTTCTCATTCTACTTTTCACGCCGTTCTAGCTTATCTTTGAGAAATATATTCCCAAAATCTTGCTAAGTAAGAGGCCACAATTCACGTTCGGATCTTTTTTTATGTAATCTTATGTTCTATCTGTGAGAACAGAATTAATGTGTCACTATTAAGTTGTTTTGCGTTGGTATTTTTTCTTCTTTAATTATATAATTATACAATGTGTTAATCATGGGAAAGCAAATTAGATGCAATAAGTAGAGTGCTACTTTTGTTCAAGTATTTCAATCAGTTTTTCGTTCAGGATAAAATGTTTTAATTTGTAATACTATATATTTCAAAGAAATATAATATAATATAAAAAAATAGGGTCAAATGATTATAATATTTTATTTTTAAGACGGTGGTTGCGTAGCTCTAAATTATTTATGAAATTTGATTGACAGTGTAATATTCACATATTTATATTTATATATGTGTGTGTGTGTGTGACTATTCTATTTTGTAAAGTTGTAACATATAGTTTTTTACTTCAATTGTTGGGATTGTAAGTTATAGGTTTTTGGTTAGAGATATTTGTCTCATAGTCTTGAAGAAAAAAAATTGTTAGAACTTTAACAATATAATACATTGATATAATATGTTGTATTGAAATTGTTAATTCATTTATTGTTAAAATTATAAATGATATTCACTGATTTACTCTAATAATTTTGTGATTGTAGTTTTTATCTGAAACACAGTGTATATATGTCTATATACATAGAAAGTAAAGTATTATATCTCTAGTATTAAAAAGTAGTAATGCGATATAAGAATTTGCTAATAGAAAAAAATGCTAATATACATTTATATGCTAGATTATTCATGAATTGTTCCTAATTAATATAAAAAAGATCGATCAAAAAAACATCTAAGATTTTTAGAGGATTCTGAATATATAACTTTTAAATTTAGCATTCTATAATTATTTACGTAATAATTTAATTACACATAATATTCAATTTCCATATAAACGAAATAAATGTTTATATTCACCATAGTTATTCAGCGTATTGTTCTCCATATCCAGAAAATTTAGAGTGCGTAATTGGATTTCAAATAAAATATAAGACTTTTTATAAGAAAAGTCCATCAGTATTGAGATTTTCAAAACTCTTTAAGAACAACATCTTAAGTGGTATTTTGTTTATATTTTAAAAGACTAAAATAAAACATTTGAAATTTCAAACCATACCAATTTCAATAAATTGGTTCGTTAATCGAATCTTTATGTTTTTTTGTGACATTTTATCAGCACGTATAAATATCATTTTATTAATCAATCTAACCAGAATATGCGAGCCATTTATATTTTTCATTAATTTTTTTTTTCAATTTCAACCGTGATAGCAATAGAGTTTTGGATTACTTTTTTCAAATTGTTTTGAGTTGTTAAAAGTCAATTTCTTAATTGTTGTTATTAATATTACATATGAAAGCTCGATCAACATAATTTTTTTCAATTTTTTTTATTTGTCATGTTTTTCTACGACTTATTTTTAAACATTGACAGTACATACATAACAGATGGTTTGATGTGAATCACCTTAAATTGCATAATACATAATACATTATGTATTTTTTTTACTAAAAAAAGATAAGTTAAAAGAGTGTTGTTACAAGCAATAATAATTTTAAAAAAAATCCACAAAAATTGATTTTGAATTTTTTTATTCAATTATAAAAAAATATAACAGAAAAAGTATAAAAAATAATATTAGGAAATTGGTTAAGTGTTGAATGAATTGAAAGAGCATTGATGTTTTGGATGGATCCTTGGGTGGGAGACCACAAAGCTACTGATTGCAAATTAGTGTAATTGGTTATAGGCACAGGTATATGTCACATGCTCACCATTAATTATTTTATGCTTTCTGGGTCCCACCCTCTTTCATTAATTATCTCATGTCCTAATAACTTGTCATATCCTAATTAAATCAAACTTCAAATTATTTGAGTATTTTTCAAATTTGATATTTCATGAAAATTTATTAAATTTTATTAGTTTAATTAAATTTTAATTCTTTCATAAATTTGAGTTTTTTAATTTACTTTTTATTAAAAAAATGTTAGTAATATTTTTAATTAAATTATTTATTAGTTAAGGAAAATTTTGTCATGTTACTTATTTTTCATGGTTAAAGATGTGAGACTGTGTAGTTAATACAAGATCAATATTAATAGATAACAAGAAACCGTCAATCATAACAATCTAATATTAACAACAACAAAATATTATATCTTTTTTAAAAAATAATAATATTAACAAATATTTAACATAAATTTAATTAAAAAAAACCCAAAATTAGTTTAAATATATCGGTTGGATTCTTTAAATTTTATATCCAATTTCATCATGGTAACCTTAAGTGGATTTCCACTAATATTTCTAACAAGTCATTTTATAATATCCACCGATGCAAATTAGACTGCATTAACATAAAAATACTTATTAAAAAAAAGACAACTTAAAAGTTAATGAGTACAATTAATTACCTAAAACACACAATACTCTTGAGCAAATACAGAGTAAAAAAAAACTCTATCACATGAAATATGATGGATGTTACAATAAAAACTTATAATACGACCACTTCCTTCTCTTTTATCTTGAACAATATTTCTTTAAGGGTTAAATATATTTTTAGTCCCTAAACTATTGACCGTTTCTGATTTTCGTCCCTCTTCCAAAGTAAGGTACAATTTAGTCCTCAATCTTTAAAAAACGTTCGTTTTAGTCGAAAAAACGAACTTTTTGAGGACTAAAACGAGGACTAAAAACAAAATTTTGAGGACTAAAACGAACGTTTTTCTAAAGAATGAGGACCAAATTGTACCTTACTTTGGAAGAGGGACGAAAACCAGAAACGGCCAATAGTTTAGGGACTAAAAACATATTTAACCCTTTCTTTAAAAATCAAATGAAATATGTAAAAGCATATTCGTAAATATTTCTAAATCACACTTTACAGAAGTTTTGAAATAATTGATTGATATGATAATTTATTTTTAAATATAATTGATTAATATGTTATTTATGTAATATGTGAATATTTTGAATCAATATAATTGATTATTTTTAAATATAATCGATTGTTTTTTGAATTGAGGTTTTTTTAACATAATACATTATTATTTAAAATAATTGATTATTTTTTGAAAGTTATGATTTTTTTCGATAATAATAGATATTTGACACGATCAATTATCATATTCAAAACTNCCTCCATCTTATGTTATGTCTCTCGTTTTCATAAGAGCATTCGAATGGAAGCAATTTCCTCCCGAAGCCATGTTTTTAG